AGCCTTCTTCATGATAGAGTCAGTGTTCACAGTCCAGGTTAGATCTTTAGAGATGTGAATTCCCAAAAACCTAAAGCTGGTGACTGTTTCCACTTCCGTTCCATCAATACTGAGTGGGCTGCGAGTGTATGGCCTGTGTCTCCGAAAGTCCACTATTAGTTCTTTCGTTTTCTTTATGTTCAAGTCCAGGTTATTGCTATGACACCACCTAAGCAGCTGAACAACTTCATCCCTGTAAGTGGACTCGTCATCATCACTGATCAGGCCTATTATAGTGGTGTCATCGGCAAACTTAATGATGCGGTTGTTGCTGTGTCTTGCTGTGCAGTCGTGAGTAAATAGGGAGTAAATTAGATCTACTAATCGGTAGATCTAATGAGTGAAGACATTTAAAAGGTTCTAATATTTTAATCTTCAAAGGAAAATGAAGGTCAAACATTCACATTACAATGATCTAATTTGAGGAAATTACCTCTAATGTTGACAAGATCACTTCCATTCCACTGGAGCCCTTGGCCATTACTTCTTTTCTTGTTTTCTCTGAAAGGCAATTTAATAAAAAGAGTACAGATACGCAATAGGGCCTTAGAGCAATATAGTAAAACTGGATATTTGCTATTTTAGGAAAACAATAGGCTTCATCAAACCACTCACATTTTGTGAGATATTACAGAATGTACTCATATACTGTAACTTACTAGAGATTTTACTAGAAACCATTTTGTACTTCTATAAAAAAAAGTTTTTCTTTGCCTAAAAAGACCACAAAAAAAAACATATGTCCACAAAAATGGATTCTGAGCAAATTCTGGGATCAAAAGTCAACAGCAAGAACAACTTAAAGTATGGGTTCCAGCTAAGCCTGGGGACTGTATAAACAAAAAAAAATCATTATTTAGTTTTTCATAGGATTAGACCAAAACTCTCTCTTTACACATAATAATTCAAGCAATATATTTCAGATCAAATGCAAGTTAGGTAGAATTTGAAAAAAAAAGATAAAAAAATAACAAGGGATTTGATGTCTTCTGACTAATACGATCACTTCCAATGTTGACATGGTACTGCTATCATGGTAACCCATGGTCTTAATTAAACCACTGTAAATTTACATCACTTTTCACGCTTTCAGAATTTCCACAAAATGCAATACAAAAAAACATTTATCACAAGTTTTCATGAAGAATGAATTTTGGACACTAAGTTCATCCATTTTCAGTCTACTAGTCCTGGTAAGGGTTTCACACTATGCCATTCATTACAAATACTGTATGCTGAAAAAAGCACTGTGCTGCAGGCTGCTAACAAAGAATATACCCTCATTTAAAAAGCAGCTCTGTAAACTTGCAGGTGTTCATTATGTGCCTGAGTGTGAACCACTAGAACACTTTACTTAAGCTCTCCAGACGCTCTCCAGTGAGTTTCACATAGAGAAATTCAGGTGTATACCATGGAGAGAAACTCTTGAAAGAAACTAAGTGAGGTTTAAGGGCAGCGTGTTTATCCAAATTACAGGTTAACACAGTGTTAAATTACTGACTAGGTCAGCTGACAAAGATGAACAAGGAGGGAATTAAGGATAGCATTAGAGAAATCAAGAGTGGTTCAAAGATTTCAGCTGTCTAAAACAAAATGTGTGTTCATCTCACTAAAGAAAAGGGAACACAGACATCAAATAACACTCCCTTATGATCAGCAATCTGGCCAGAAGCACAGACCAGATCAAGGGTGCGACCACAGACATGGGTGGGACAATTTTCCAGTTGAGTGAGATCAAGGCAGTCCGAAGTGGATAAAAAAAAAAAATCAGAAGTAAAGTTGCAGGCCAACGAGTCAAAAAGAATGCTAAAATCCCCAAGTATAAATACTGGGCAGCTCATAGTGTTGTTAACAGTTCAGATAAAAACACAGGACAGGAGGCCAATAAACAAGTAAAATAAACAATGGAATGCAGCCACACAGCTTAAGAGCAAAGTATTTAAAGGATATCATTGGATAATATATCACTGCAATACTTAAATCTCTACATTGGTTGTGTAAAAAGTCACATATTTAACATAAGATCTTGTTACTGACATTAAGGCTCTACATAATCTGACTCCATCATACATCTCTGAACTCCCTCAAATTTACACTTCCTCCCTCCATTCAGTTAAAGCTGGTCCCTTGCTCATTGTACCTAGGACTAAATCTTGGGGACTGTGCTTTTTCTGTGCTGCTATGGAATCGTTATGGAATTCCTTTCTTTAGACTCTTTAACAGACAAAATCTTCTTTTCCTAGGCCCTTTTACATTTCATTCTGTATGTTCTTGTTTCATTTGTCTTTACTTTTTATTGCATTTTTTATCTTTTCCTTCTTCATCACTCTGTGCAGTGCCCTTGAGTTTTGAATGGTTATTATTATTATTTAACCCTTTATGTACAGCGAGTGGAAGGTCTTGAAAGACCCAGGCTTCACTGTAATTTGAGAACTATACTTAAACTGCAATCTTTATTATTATTGCTATTAAATATGATTAAACTAGCAGTAAACTTCTGTAGTTATCCTGTGAAATAAATTGTAATGTTCAGCCTAGTGGTTTTTATTCTCCTTTCCAAACAATTAGAAATGACAAACCTAACGTTCCCAGAAACCACATAAATTATACCTGTCTTTCATTTGCCAACTAAATCTCTGTTCAGGTCTGCGTACAAAATTACACCACAGAGAAGAATAACAAAGTCGATGACAAACTAAAAGACTTAAGAAAACTGAAAAAAAAAGATATCTAAAATATTTATTCACTTGGGATTTAAATCTCCACTACTTTTTGTTGCTTCTGGCCTTCTGGCCCCAAACTCTCATCATTACATGAAGGTAACATAATTCTTCAGAAATGAGGTGCTTGGCTTCACAGTGAACAGTTGCACACAGAACAATATGTCCTTCAGTGAATGGAATGAAGTCAGCTAGGTGTTCTTGAGGTTACAATGACCTGACCTCTTCAAGTTATAAGGTTACTGCAAGCACCAGTCTTTATTAAAGGTGATGTCTACTCCCTGACTGATATTAAAGCACTGTTTGAATCCTAGACTTCCACTTTGTAAAGAAGTGTCTGGCTTGATGATCCATGTCAGAGAATGTACAGTATTTGTGCAAAAAAAAAAGAAATGTTTCAGCTCTCAAGCCAAGCTCAATATATGAGAAATGCAAGAGCCCACTCTCTGTACATGGATGTTGCTCTGCCTTTTTTAAGTATACATCGAATCAGTTGTAACAATAAAATAAATGTTAAATGTGGTGAAAGCACAACTCCAAGTCATTTTCCTAATTTTACTGATATATACTATACAGTATATACTAAAATTGCATGATGGATAATTTTGTGACTTGGTGTTGATGATATTTATTTATATCTACTGTATATAAATATAAACATAGATATATAGTTTCAGATATACTGTATAGTTACTGATAGTATATCTAATCTGCAAAAAAAAGCAAGTAGTTTAATTGCTGGCATAATACAAAACTCAATGGAAATTTAAACATGCATAATAATATTTTGTTCTAATAATTGAAATAATTTACAAATGCAAACAACAATAACCCTTAAAGATAAAAACAATATAGTATTATTCTGGATAGGCTAAAGTACTTCACTGTAACTATACATTCATACAAAACAAACATTCTTTACATTATTTAGTAATATTTTTTCAGATTTTTAATCGTTAAAACACAATTCTAAACTCATGATACCTGGACAAGTTCAAAGTAAAACACATTCCCTGATTCTCACTGCCACAAATAAAGCCATCAATTGGTGCTGTGCTTTTGATATTGGATGAGTCTTCACTTCCCGTATAGAATTTTCAAGCCAATTAGTATTGATCTGCATGTGTGGTCTAACTGTACTGTAGAAATGGGATACATCTTAATTTATCTAGCTAAAGGTACATCTCTTATTTTTTAAACATTAAAAGAATGCATACTAGAATTGTTTTCACAGAAAACATTTCAAAGCTGCTTCATGCATGAAGATAAAAAAACAAAACAAATATTTTGAGGTTTCTGCTGGCAAACACAACCAAATTAACCATATTAACATATTAACCATGTTAATGTTAAGGTCTAGTTATACCGATATTCCAAGGAGTAGAAACAAAATACACCTCTCAGGCCTTTACACTGTGTGTAAATAATTTCTACAGTTCACAGCAAGTATGCACTGATTGGAATGCTGGATTTACCAATCTTTACTAATTAATTTCGTTTCTCATTTACTGCTGTCCTTACCATGATTCTTTTGCTCTCCTAGTGTCTGGTATCTGGAAGAACTAAATGCTCGATTTGACAAGTAGTCCATTTCTGAAAGCAATGATGGCAGGCTCTATCAGGATAACTTTAACATCAGTCCACAGTACAGTAAAGCTGTAGATGTCAGCACCATTAAGAACTGACCCCTCCTTTTTGAAAATGGGAAAGTCGTACACCCACAGTGAATTGCAGGAGTGCAAAAACACAGAGTGCTAGGCAAGCTGAAACCTGGCAGCTGATGTTTGTATGTGTAAAGGCAACTGGAAACCTAAAGCAACCAAATACAGAAGTGTTTCATATAATCAATGCTCCTCTCTTTCGAGCTATGTATTTAGAAACATAGATGGATACATAAATAGTAAGATATGCATCTGTGCTTGCATTTTGTTGCACGGCAGGAGGTAGAGATGCCGCAGAGTTACCAGAAAAGGCAAGGATAAAGTATAGCTCCCAAAATGCTTAGTGATCACCCAACAGGGTAATAGTGTAAAGCAGGAAGAACAATAAGTGCCCAGATACTTCAGACTGGCAGAAGAGCACTACCAGGCTCGCACTGACTGTCGGGAAGATGAAGGTGAGAAGCAAAAGAAATAGAGGAAAAACAGTGAGACAGAAAGATCCTTGGGTGAAGAAAAGCAGCCACTAGCAACAGGGTTTTGAGAGGACGTCTATTGTAGAAGAGAGACTATTGACAGAAAAAAATGAAAAAAAGCATGCTTGCAAAAAAAACGTATTTATTACTTTGTTGTGTTGAAAGCATGTTATTTTCCATACAGCTGTATTTATACTAAATTGAACTAAAGCGATGAGCCAGTGCTCTAAATAGATATTTATATAAAATAAATTTTGTACAGATTTATTTTAATCAAATATAAATACCACCGTGCCCACGTTGAAACTCAGTCCTCTTCAATTCTTAAAGAGTCTCTTTGGTTTGACCAGCACCCTGGCAGCAGGCTTTCAAATGTCTGTGCCACTGCTAGTACGACCATGAAAGAACCTCAAACCAGATTGGGAGAAGGTTCCACTGAGACTAAATTTGGCCAGAGAGGAATAATGTTGTGTTGCCCCAGAGACCCCTGAAATAGGGAAAGAGAACCAGCATCTTCCTGAATTCCCCAAAGTAGGAATCGAAAAGACACAGAAACCCACACAGTAGAAGAGCATACTGTAGTTAACTTGAGAATGCTCTACCAAGAGAGTGTCTGAAAAAGTGTAGATAACAAATCCATCAGCTAAGAGGCATATCCTGAACTGTGCACAGCTGTAAAGACCACACTGACGGATGGACTCCCTTTTGCCTTTCCCTAGGTACCACAGATGACTCCTCATTAGAACCATTCTTACTGACTTAACTGCACTTTTAGTGGAGTGTACAGAAAAGCGCTACATAAGTGTAAGCAATTAATTAATTAACTATGGGGGCCAGTTCACTAGACAAAAAACCTGTGGATTTTTCCCAAAACAACTCAAACTATATTGCTAGAAGGTAAAACAAAGCTGACTTTGTTTATTTCTAGTATTCTAGCTTCCTTAGAGACTCAAAACATGAAATCACTGCAGTACTAAGATGAAACACCAACACCAAGTTTTTAAACAATTTGACCACAAACAGTTTTCAACATTACCCCAAGACCAAGTAAATAATAAAAACAACAACATTCATCCTTCATCTACAGTATGTTAGCACAGTTGGTACATCTCCCCCCACCTTTCCCACCCCCCATGTGGATGATGACTTCACTGTGATGCAAACAGATTTAAAATTGATGGCTTATGTTTCACATTGTGAGCTTTCATTTTTACAGCCTGCCCATAGATCACATAGCACAGAGCACATAAATCAGTTCACACATACCAGTGAAATAATTTGAAAACATTTCCTTTTTTAATTCATTTTAACCCCTGATTCCTTTCTAGATTTGCTGGCAATAAAAAGATCGGTTTGGAAGCCAGCCCTGCAGAGCCTTAAATCCAATTGGGATGTATCGACTGAGCCGCACTAACACAAGGCGCTAGCTCTTCCTTCTGCTTGGCTGGGAGTGATTCTGACACCAACTAATAAAAGACCTAGTGAAAGAAGTTATCATCAGGTGCTGAATTAGCTAGCAAGCACAGCACATGTGAAAGCTGCCATGGGGAGGACAAAGTGGCAAAAAATAGCAAGAGGGCAGGCAGAAGCAGGGTCAGTACAGAGGTCATGAATTGGCAAGGAAGGTTCAGATATCATTCCCCACAGGGCAGTAAACTGAGCAGACTGCACGGCAAGCATCAGTCAGGGGATCCTGTTTCACCACATGCGACAGCAGTCAAAACGTTTCCATCACCTCCCGCCAAACTACACAGACATGCTACTTGAGAGCAGCTTCCCTCACAGGCTGGAAACAGTCATTTTCACAACCTAGGAACTGTACTCATGTGAAAATCAGTACGGATATCATCTAAAATACATTTTTTTCCATAATTAACCATCTTCTATTTAAGTGTTTCCCTGTGAAGCTGAAAGAGCTGCCACCCCAAAGGTACATTATAAAGCAAGAACTTCTTGAGGTTTTTCCCCACATTCTCTTTTATGTGCTGTTTTAAATGCAGCAAGGTTGCACAGTACATGCAGCAGTTTATTCTTGTGATTTTATTGGCTACTAGAAATTGATTCAAGCAGTCCTCCCCATTAACTATGTGCAGCACAATACACCTGCCTCCAAAGATTAGAGCAAAGTGTAACAGGGACCCCTGCTGGCCAAAGGTTTACATGCCTACATGCTTTCCAGCATGAAGACCAAGTCAACAAACCTGCTAATGGGGAACTTCCTCCTTACCAGAAGCAGTGCGTCTCAAATTGATATACTGATTACCCTATCCTGGACGTCAAATAATTAGAATCCTGAAACATTAATGCACAATGCATGCATCCCAAAAATGTAGCTCACAATATGAGATGCCTTGGCATGTATTCCTGTACAATACTCTTTCCTAGGATGTAATAGGGACAAATTGTGGTCTGGCAGACATGGTATTGCAGTTCAAAGATGAGCTTTCTCTTAACAGGACAGACCAAAGCAAACCAGAAAGGTGAACAACAGGAAAAGGATCCCCAGTTCAGGGTGGAAATAACTGGGATCTTCTCACTCATTACTTTACCTTGTGTTTGGATGAGATGAAGGATCTTGGATGTGATATGTCTTGCATTTTCCACATCCAGCGCCACTGGCTCTGCATTTATTTTCTCAAGCTGGGCAAGGAGGGTAAGTACCCTGGAGTTACTGGGGACTCTGGAATAAAGCACACAAAGCGTCACATTGTTTTTGAAGCAATAAAAACCTTGGGGTTATATTCGATTCTGGCTTAACATTCGACCCACATGTACAGCATACTGTCAAAACATCTTTTTTTTCCACCTTAGAAATAT